TTATACAACATACAAGCATACATTTCCAAGTATACTAAACCACATTAAGACAAGTCATGCAATGTCTAAGCATATTTACACAAGTATGCATTTTATATGAAAATCTCGTAAATCAAGTATACCGACACAAGTATACTAGGCTAAGAGAGATACGCCTAAAACAAGTATACACGGCACAAGCATACTAAATGAAATCTAAACTCACAGAGCAAGCATACAAGTTCAAATACACTATATGAGATCTAAATGCACAAAACAAGTATATAGTTTCAAGTATACTAAGTAAGATTCAAATATCGATAGCAAGCATTAATTCTCAAGCTACAAGTAATCCATGATTAACAACTTGAAATTGAATGCGAAATTAAAGTGGAAAGACTAGGACATATGGTCACTAGACCAAACAAGTGTTTTCGGGTAATGACGACCCACAAGGCACTACCTAGTGCACACATGCATAAGTTATTCCAGGCAATTACGACCCATAAGGTGCTACGTAGTGCGCACTTATGACTTAGAAGACTCTTGTCTCCGTACTAGAGCCAAATCCTAGCCATCACGTGAAATATGTCCTTACAAGCTTTCCAAAATCAATAAGTCCAAAACTTATACAAAAATTAATAAGTTAGATCAAACTTATACCAAATCCACTAATGCATAAAGCCAACTTCCATGCACAAATAAGGTTGAATCCACACAAACCATGTCCTAGAATTCAAGTCTAGATAGCATATGACGTGTCAAGCCTCCAACATGAAATTTATACACCAAAACAATAATATTTTACAACAATTGAACCACATTACCACACTAAGCCACAAGTATTAAATAAGTCCCAATTTAGTTACTAGCTTCCAAGGTAAATAATTGTAATATTCTAACAAGCTATATACCTACACAAGATATATCTAAACAAGCTATGCAAGTCAATGATATTCTATATCATGCTAAGTCCAATTACCATTTCAAGAGGTCTCAAGTACTAATTCTACATTAAATTAGTAACATGCTCACAAGGTGATTAAACAGACTACATTTCAAGGGATTATCAATCTATTACCTCCAATATCAATTTAAGTGACCAACACACTTAAAATAAAATTAATTATGCTCATTAATTAATTTTTTCTCTAGATTTTCAAACATATCCAAATGTCCTCAATTTAATATATATTAAAGAATTTACCAAGGCCTACTTTAATATCATATTACAAGTTGATTCCATGCTTGATACAACTAGGTGAATTAAACTTTCACAAAAGATAAATATTAAATAAAATTTGCAATTCTTATTCAAATAACCCCAATTTAATATATATCAACCACCATACCAAGGCCTAAATTTCTAGCATGCCACAATTTAATTCTAAGTTGCCTAGCATTATGAGAATTAAATCTTAAACAAAGAAAATAATTAATTTAAATTCTAAAAACTTGAACAAGGCATGCTCACAAGTTGTATATGCTTATAAAACAATCAATAGAACAGTAATATAAACCTAAGACACCCCCTACCTCAATTTGAGATGAAAATCTCAAAAGCCATCTAAACGAAATGGCTCCGAATCCGACAATACTTAGGGGTTTCGTCGGAGACAACGCCATGAACGATAAAATCCAAAGAGGACCCATGAAAATCACAACTTGAATTCAAAGCCAAACTCAAAATTTGGCCAGAAATGGGTTCTAATAAGGGTGAAAGAAGCGCGTAGTCAACACGAACACAAAACGCAAAGGCCCTACTATGTTCTAACAAAGAAATGAAGTTCAAATGAGGAGACAGAAGGTGGCATCCTCCCTTGGGCTGCCATGGATGCTTCAGGTCATGCAAGAGAGTGGGGAAGACGAAAATATAAAATATCTCATCCCCCTTTTATAGAAATCTCAAAAAGTGCCCCGAACGGGCCCCGCCGGGTCTGGAAAAGTCAAATTTGAGCAGACACGCTCAAATGATGAAACTTTATGAACGAAAAAGATTAAAAATGAGAAAATAAGAATAACGGAAGAAATGGCATCAAAAACTGAGTCCCGAACAGAAAGTTATGCCCCAAACAAGTTTGGCACAAACCGGGGCAAAAAACCCTGAAACTGGAAAACATCGACCAGAAGGGACTTCTAAGATTTTACGACTTGACAAAAAGTGAAAATGAATCCCGTACGAGAATCTAGGCTCAAAACAAGATAATTTGCAACAACTTACATTAATTGCACAATGGCCCCCACAAAAAGGGTTAACTGCAAAACTGCCCCAGAATGAAAATATCTTCCAAAAGATATTTTCATAAATACCCGTAAAATAAAATATCTTCAAAAAATATTTATGAAAAACACCCCAAGAAAAGAAATTAATTTCAAAGAATTATGCATCCATGCCCCTATGGACACCTGGAGCAACCAGAGTACTTTCCTACTAAAGTAAAGATACGTATTTCGTGGAAACCACTCACGATAAAGATACGTGAAGTCAAAAACCAACTCCGAGCACAAGAAGTGAGATTTTGCCAACAAAGTGACAAATGGGGAAAAGACGAAATAGGGAAAAGGACGAAATAGGAATAAGGACAAAAGGTGAATAGTGTCGAAAAACGAAAATTGTGGAAATGACTCGGTCCTCAAAGGAAGTTGTCAATCCACGAAAAAGAGTCTCATAAACTATTTCCGAGCACTCAAGAAGACACTAAGTGACGAAAAACCATCCACATAAAAGAAAAGACAACGGAAAAAATTTATCCGCAAAATTTGAGGAAAAAGGAAAAGGAAGAAAATGACCAGGTCATTACAACCTTCCCACCTTAAAGGGATTTTGTCCGCGAAATCCAGCCCAAAAAAAAAAAAAAAAAGGTGAAACTAGGATAACTACGGAGTACGTCTCCAAGTACTCCACGACATCCTACGAGAGCAATTCCAAAACTAGAAGACAACACGCAAACCAATGCCATTCGCACCCACGTGCTTACGACAGGACAACTTCTCAAAAGAAAAATAACCGCATGGCTACACGACAAGTCAAAGGTCACTCACAGAACCCAACGCCAGACAAAGGAACGGAAGACAACAACCGTAAGCATTTCTCCTGATGAACCATCATACCGATCCAAAAACAACCCCCAAAAGAACTCCAAGATAATCACGTATCAAATCAAGGTACAGAACAAAGACAACGTGGCAGAACGAATAGCAACCAGAACCCATCCACGACGTACTCAAATGTGTGGTAGCAACGATAGTACCTAGTGCCCGCCCACACTTACTCGTCAGTAAGGTAGCATCGACGGCAACTAGCACTCGCCCACAACACACAACTTTGTACTGTAGCATGACAGTATAAGGCACTTGTTCATAACCTGCCCCCCCACTAGGTCTACCCATGAAACCTTTCGATACCAATGACATCAATGTCATAAATCATCATTACCAAAAGTATTACAGAAACTAGGCATCTTGTGAGAGTTGGGGTAGCCAATCCCAAAGCTCTGACAACAATGTCATAGGCACCGTTACGCTTAGGGCCTTAAATCCTCAATACCACAGAACCAATAACTCTAATGTCTCAAAATTCCAGATATCATCCTAAAACAGATCAACTATAAAACCACACTGAAATCAAACATCGGATCAAAATCCCTATCACGGATGACTAAATCCCCAAAATATAAGTCCACTAAGCGGTACACACATAAGTCCTGACAACTAAAGTCACAAAATGAATCTCTCAAAACCGTGCTTGGCATCACCAAGCTAAATCAAAATCATTTAATTTCAATCCATAATCAATCATTGGAACAACAATTCCTCAAAACTACGCCTAGCCATAACTAGGACGAGAAAACTCCATAAACAAGCCAAATCCAACAACGATCTTTCAAAACCTCTCCTAAGAGTCAACCACATCCAGGTCTCCAAAAACCAAAGCAAGTCTCCAAAAGACATTCTTAAAAGAGCATCGAGCTCACCTCATAAATCAACCAAATCCTCAATCAAATGGACATAAGTCCCCGAAAATGATCTCACACAAATCAATTCACTTTGAGCACCATAATCCCATCTCTGAAAGAAAGACAATAAGGACAAAGACTTCACCCCCTCCATGGAAGTAAGTCGACCAAAATCCACCAAATCCTCACCAAGGACTCAAAACGACAACAATGATCCTCACGGACCAACCAACCCCAAACCATGCACAAGACAACGAAGAGAAGAAACTCACTCCTTGTGAAGTCCCAAACACAGACCAAGAAAAGGTGAGAACCCTATCCCCCCCACTAGTGTCAACACGACGAACACGAAAAGGAAACATTCTTCCCACCTTAAAGAAATGGACAGCTCAAGATAAAATAAATATGACAACAACCTGTCTCAAAACAACGTGAGCCCTTACCACACTCACAACAACAAATGAGGGTTTCAGCGGCGGTCTAAACCGCCGCTATAAGGTTCCCAAAATGCCGGTAATTCCTTTACCGGCGGTTTTACCCAACCGCCGGTATAGCCATCGCCTCTAGGTTTCACCGGCGGTTTTTACCTAACCGCCGGGATTGAAATCATTACCGGTGGATGTATACAACCGCCGGTGAAAGATGATTCAGCGGCGGTTTTGTCCGCTGGTGTATTCAAAGTAAAATGTCATTAACTGTATACTCTGGCACTTTGAAGCGCTGGTAATGTAGACCTTATTACTTTGGGGGCGTTTTAAACCGCCGGTGTATTCTTATACTCCGGCGCTTTAGGGGCACTTTAAACCGCCGATGTATTCAAAGTAAAATGTCATTGTATACTCCGGCACTTTCAAAGTGCCGATAATGTAGCCTTTTTCACTTTTGGGGGCGTTTTAAACCGCCGGTAATGTGTTAATTTTTTTTTAAAAAATATTATTTTCTAGTTTAATTTATATATTAGCAAATATTTTATTTTGTTCCCTGTTCAACGAAATCAAAGATAATTTACCAATCACAACATATCCAACAACTTAAATTTGATATGTAGCATAGAACAAAGTTGCATTAAAATTCAATAACATCCCATAACATATAAGTTTTGTTTCAAAATGTCAAGTGCTAATAAAAGGTTCAAAAGGAAACACCAAAATCTAACAAAACTTCAAAAGGAAATCATTCAAAATAAAACATCAACATTTCATTGAGAATTTGAGTGAGACTATGCGAGGGTCTTGAGAATTAATGGTTCAACTTCATCTCTCGTCTTGCTTCAATTTGCCCTATATACATTTTAAATAAAAGCCATTAAATAAAGAATAATAATTAAGACAATTAAATGTATGGTTAAAATAACATGATAATTAAAATCTATAGTGCTCACCAAGGACGGAATTTCATGACCAAAAATAAAATTTAAGGATCACCAAGTGTAGTTGAGGAGCCGGGTACCTTCACTATAAAATATAATTTTATTATGCACCTTCATAATAGAATATAATTATAAATATATTAGAACTTATAATATTTATATAATTAAATTTTTACCAAGGTACAATAACAAAAATATTTACCTATACATTAGAATTTTGATGTTCAATATGACGCAAAATCATAGCCATTTTTGCATTCAAAGCTTCATATTTTTCATCATACTCAACACGCATCTTTTTCACTGTCTCCTTCATTTCTGCATGAGCAACACATGTCTCTTCCTCTGCTTGTGAGGTCCTCCTTACCAGGTCCGCTTTACTAGGAGATGGCCCCCAAAGACTAGTAGATGTAGGTCCCAAGCCATACATCTGAACATGGCCCCTTCTTTCTTCTCCCCTAACTTGGGTATAAAAATCCCGGGGTGAAGGTTCATCTGGGTTAGAAGGCTGAGTTGCAGCAAGCTCTTCTAGTTGTGTATGCATATATAGAATGGATAAGGAAACACAAAAAGATATAAAACATCAAATATAATAAATTTTAGTACCCATATTTTACACTTAATCAAACTAGGAAAAAAAGAATTGATGGTTTAAAAAAATACTTACAATCACTTTGGCAGCATGTTCATCACTAGCTTTGCCATCCTTCTTGCTCTTATGTGTTGCGCAAAATAGTTGAGCACAAGTTAGCGCTTCCCTGATTCCAAGATGAATTTATCATAAATATCTAAACTAAAATGAGAATTAAGGTTTATAATATATATATATATATATATATATTTAAATTAGCGAGACTAAAATTTAAAGTACCTTGAGTCCGTAATTCAACTTCTATCCATTATGATAGATTATGTAACCTAGTGAAACAAAGAACATATGAATCTCAAAACTTTGTCAGTTAACTTCTTTGAATTACTGCATTTCATAGTATTTTAATGAATAAACTACTTCTATCTACTCAGGTAGATGATACAGTATATGAACAAAATTACTATTAAATGTCTTAATTAGCATCACCTATAAAGTGTGGTAGTAAGTAGATCAAACTCATTGTTCAGTTAAATGACTTAAAATACACTAATTGTTAGCTAGAGAGTAGTAGTGACTCTAATGAATTAATGTACAAAAATTAATATAAATAATGGAACCCACGTTTTTTATCTCTATTTTTTTTTTAATCTTTTCTAACTTATCATTTCTCCTCTATCGCCTTACTTTTTCTTCCTCTCATTCGCCACATTTCCTATTATATTATCCACTCACTTCTCTTTTTTTCCCTCTCAACTCTTCTCCTTTATTTTGTTATTTACTCTTTTTTTTTTTTTCTCCTTAGTTATTGTTCAATCCCACAGGTTGTGTCCCAAGTGTTAGAACAAAATATATTGAAGTAGATATATTGATCCTACAACCAATTTTTTAACCATTAGAGTTTTCATTTGGGTGACAATTAACTTTTCAATTTTTTCATTTATAAACATTTCTACTAAAAATGTTCATTTAAGTTAGAAAAACTTAAATATAAATAGAGATATTAATGTATTTATATAATAAATTGCAAAAAAAGTAATTTTTTAAAAACTTTAATACAAATATAATTAATGATTATGTATACCAAGACATAAGAAGAATGGCTTTTGTATAGAATTAACAATTTAATTTCATTGAAATATGTTAAATATCAAAATGCCACACTAGTGTTTTTGTCTTAGGCCTCAAAATCCATTGAGCCACCTTTGTGTATGAGAGTCCATGGGTGAACTGTGGGTTTGCATTTATATGATACAATAATTTTGCTCCCAGCAAAAAATTTACTCTCATCCACACACACAACACTAATACATTATGAAGGCAAAAGCTTCTTTGGACAAAAAAGTTTATATATATATATATATATATATATATATATATATATATCCTAAAACGCTAATCTTTATATATATATAAATAATAAAAAGGAAGGAAGAGAAGGGGAAATTGACAAAAAGGAAAAGTGGGCTGGAAAAAGCCGTAATCAAACAAGCAAATCAAAAAAGATGTGGAAGCCTTGTATTGTTTTTTATATTTTTCTAGCTTCAAACATGTTGAACCCAAGAAAGCCTCCGAATTGTTTAGAAAACGAACTAAACAGATCACCAACCTGAAAACCCTAGTTCCTCCACAAATCAAAAGCCCCAAAATCAGTGACAACTATTCCAGACAACATACAAGAAAGACCCATAATATATATATGCAATTGTTCATTTTTACTTAAGAAATTAATAAAAATAGAAGCTGATTCATTTATTGAGAATACAAGAGAGATATAAGTGGAGTTCTTAAGAAGAAGGGGAAATTAGGGTTTAAAGTTCTTACAAGTTATAGTAGCCCCACTTAACAGCCACCACTGTCCAGATCTCCAATATGGCACCAATCAACAACCGCCACCGTGATTCCTTCCTGCGCTACACCTAGGGCACCACCAAGTCGTGAAGTCGTGGGTCAGTGAGAGAGTAGAATGGAAGCATAGACATTAGAGCGTTTATGTTTGAGAGTATAAGCAATAAGCTACCCAAACCTGCTTTTAGGAAAAAATAATAATAAATTAAATAATTATAATTAAATTTTCACCGGCATATTTTGTATAACCACCAGATATAATTAACTATTTCCGGCGTTTTAAAAAACACTACCGGATATAATTAATTATTTCCGGCGCTTTTAAAAATCTGCCAGAAATAATTACTATTTTCAGGCAGTTTATAAAATAGCGCCGGTAAAAATTTCAATAGCGGCACTTTGTTCTTAAACGCCGAAAAAAATAAATTAACAGTGGCGGTTGGCTAAAAACCGCCGGTGAAAATGATAGTTCTTGTAGTGACTAGTAAAACTCTAACAATCCATCTCCAAATCTAAAAGTGACACTACAAGTGACACTAACGGTGCAATGCTCTCACCAACCCCAAACGTCAATCAATCGACTTGATCCCAAAAGCATCATCATGCAAGGAGAACTCAAAGAAAGTGGCAACTATTTACATACCAATAACAACCAAATCAATCACTGCGACTGATCCCCAACATAACATCATCATCATCGATCAAAAGGACAACACCTATCAAAATAAAAGCTAAAGCTGATTCCAGCCGAACTGAGCTCGTAGCTAGCCAGCACGGTAGCCCATGCACCCGCCCACAACGTACTGATCGATGGTCGAAATCAATTATAAATCAACCCTCTTCGCAATAGCACGAATCATTGTAAAATAGGGCTATTGGACGGGTAAGTCGAACCACTGGGACTGCGCTAGTCTTAAGGCAACCTAAGTATCTAAAGTCATTTTAGAGTGATGAGGGGTTTATAAAGGGTTTGTGTGTTTGTTACTAAACTAAGAAATTAAAATGCATAAAACAATAGATTGCAATGAAATTGAGGAAGTGAGATACAAGTAGAAAAGACTAGGGAGATGAATCCACACTACACCCTAAGTACATGCTAGATTAAGGCTAAATTGGGGAAGTACAATGTATAAAATGGTCACGGAATATATAGCAACACTAGATTACCATATACCCTTAGAGAAGTTCATTAAATCATTAAACAAGAATAATCCCTCAAAAATTAATACATTTGAGCTACCTAAACTAAAGTGTAGCCTTCAACATACTCACTCAAGCAAGAACTATCAAGTTTGTAATCAAATGATAAAGCACATGAGGTAGGAAACTAGCATAACCCATCAAAGGAAGTTCCTAAGCAATGGACTATCCATTTTCTCTATCAACATGGCTTGAAAATTATTCATAATCCTATCTCCATTGTCACCATGAAGAAGCAAGCATTATGATTACTACAAGAAACCATCTAAGACAAGATAAATCACTTACAACAATCATTTATAAACATTAGAATTCATTACAAGAAGTAATATTCTCTAGATTATGAAAAGACCAAAAATGATACATCATAATCCCCAAAATAGAACCTAATCTAGAACATAAGCAAAAGGGAGGCTTCATCACCTCCCTAGATGAGGTTTAGTTACCCATGAGTGAGCTAGAAGAAGGAAGAAGCTTGCCCTTTTCCTCCATTTTTGAGCTCCCTTCCTTTTGCTCCAAGAACCCTCTTCTTGCTCCTCTTTCTCCCTCCAAAAGTCTGATCCAAAAGTGAGATTTGAGATTGTGTGGCTTTCCTCCCCTTATCTACCTCCAAACAAGGCTCTCTCTCTCCTCCAAAAACATCCCCAACCACTCCATAAAGAGGGAGATAAAAAATGAGGAAAATAAGGTGCAAGTGGCTGAATTCTGAAGGGCATTTTGCCCAAATTTCGAGTGCTCGAAATAGGGCCTCGAGCACTCGAAAATGGAGCAAATTGTTCCATGCTTGCCTTGCTTTGCCCATACCTACTTTGGTAAAATAGCCATAACTTTGCGCTCTGAACTCCGAATGATAAACTATTGAAGATTTGGAAAGCTAATTTAGAGCTCTAAAAACTTTATGTTTTGGTGGAGATCCAATTCTTAATTCTGTTTGGTCGAAATTGAAGAGAAAGACAGAAATTCATTGCTGCTAGGCAGTTCTGAGCACCTCTGATAAGAAGATCATAACTCTCTGTTCCAAACTCTGAATGATGAACCACTTGAAGATTTGGAAAGCTGATTCAGAGCTCTAAATATGTCATGTTATGAGGGAAGTCCAGTTCTCGAGGTTTCAAGGTCAAAATGGCGAGCAAAGTCCATGTTCCACTGCTGCCAGAAATTCAGCATTGTGACCTTTGATGTTCAAAACTCCACAAAGCATCCTTCTTGCTTCTTTTTGGCCAATGAACCTGAAAATATGCAAAAACGTGCATATGAAGGTAATCTACATAATTAAACAAACAATGGACTTAAATAATGCAATTAAGGGTGCTTGAATATGCAATATTCGGCGCTTATCACGTACCCGCCCATGAAAATTGCAATCTCAGAGGAACCTTCCAAAATAACTAAGGTGCCCCAAAAGGTCCAAAACCTAATCATGGCCCAAAATCAACAAATCCAGTACTACAGTCGTGCCTAATGGCTCACCCAATGAGAGCCAAAACAAAAGGTTTCTCTCCACCTATCCAAAGTTAACTCTAGGTCAACAACAACCTAAACTACAATGAAACTGTGACTACAATCATCGTCAACCTCAACTCATGCCTCAATGACCAATCCTGTGTCATGCTAAATATTCAACACAATCATGCATATACAAATCTAATCTAGCATACATCATATGTCATGCTCTTTACATTAGAATCAAAACAAGCTAAACAGATAGCATAACACGTATAGCACGTAAGCACATAAACATGTTATCAAGCCAAAACATGTTATCATGAAGCATATTAACATGTAAAACAAAGCAACAGAAATGTGATATGCACCCAAAACCCGTCGTCCTAAGGTATTCAAACCTAGGAGCTCTGATACCACCTTTGACGGCCCTGGTTTTTCAAGCTAGTGCGTCTTGTGATGAACCAAATATTGACCCGATAACGGACCCGAATTACGGAAGCAAAAACAGAAAACAAGACTCTAAGAAGTCAAAGTGACCTTCCACGAGGTCGTGGAACTCAATGAGAACTGATGCGGAAGGAAAAAATAAAAAAATATGACAATAAGCCCTCAGGGGAAAAACAGTCATTTCTGAAAACTGTGGACTCGGGTGCCACCGAGCACACCGCTGGAAGGACAACGAAAAACTAATCAAGATAGACTCAAGAATCACATGATTTGGAGTCCGGACGAAGGAGAAACGAGAGTTTGAAGTTTTGACGAAGGCCATGACATGCCGGCGTGCGCACCGGTGCACAATGGCATGCTGATGCTGATAGCAAGGGTCCAAAGCAGGTTTTCCAGAACTGAGGCTTGAAATAGAGGGCAAGACGAGTTTTTTTGGAAAAACACGAAGAAGAAACCCCCCCTAAAATTAAGTTTTCTACGTGACTTGTGATAGAATTAAAAAAAACTCACCATAAAATGCCCAAAATGCCCTTCCATGAAATCTGGTCATGAAGGCCAAAAAGCTGCTAAATGCAAACTGGAAGCTGAAACTTCACGAGGGATTTCCGTTACTAAGACGACATTTTCTGGAAAAACACGAAGAAGAAACCCACCCCTAAAATCACATTTTCTATTCAACCCCGTCAAAATAAGAAATTAAAACTGATGTGAAAGGTCAAAAATGCCCCTAGATCAGATTATGCAACAAAATTTCAAAATGAGTCCATAGGAGGCTCATTTCACCAAAGAAGAAGGTTTGCCCGGAAACGACCATGCATGCAAACGTAACCTATTTGGACATGCTACAATGGTCCACGGCTTAAAAATACCACCGATACAAAATTCGACCCCCCAACGGGCAAAAAGCCAAAAATGAACAAGAAAAGGGAAATTTGAAAACCAAAATTATCAAATGATTTCAAATTACCGTTTGGCCTTTGGCCACACTTCAAACATGATTTATAAGACCCTATGAAAGAATAAAAATGGAATTCCCACACCCGATGCAAGGATAGTGAAGCAATGACTCGGCATTTTTCAATATTTTCATAATATTTTATGAAGTTAAAAGTTACATAGGATACAAATTAGATGTCATTGGCCTATGGCCTCATCTCATACATGTCAAATACATTGTAAAGAGTGTACTTATGTACACATTACAAAAATAGAATCAAATTTACACATTTTGACATATAAAGCTATAAATTGCATTTCAACCCAACATTTACAGGAAATGAGAACTTCAAGTCTACAAATCATCCAAGCATGATATGAATCCCGAATCTTGATCCCGGTACCTGAAAAATGTCCCCACTATGTAGGTGAGTAATATAAAGATACTCGTAGGAGATGAGCGTGCATCGACCCAGCATTTTACAATTATATCACCTTAAGGTGAAACATGTCAAAGGGGCTCATGCCACCTAACGTCTATGTCAAGTGAGACTTAAGGATCATCCTAAGCTACTCATGAAATTTAAAGTGAGCAACAGCATACAAGTATACTTGCTCAGGTATACTAAATAATGTTAAACATGTTATATAACATACAAGCATACATTTCCAAGTATACTAAACCACATTAAAACAAGTCATGCAATGTCTAAGCATATTTACACAAGTATGCATTTTATATGAAAATCTCGTAAATCAAGTATACCGACACAAGTATACTAAGCTAAGAGAGATACGCCTAAAACAAGTATACACGGCACAAGCATACTAAATAAAATCTAAACTCACAGAGCAAGCATACAAGTTCAAGTACACTATATGAGATCTAAATGCACAAAACAAGTATACAGTCTCAAATATACTAAGTAAGATTCAAATATCCAAAGCAAGCATTAATTCCCAAGCTACAAGTAATCCATGATTAACAACTTGAAATTGAATGCAAAATCAAAGTAGAAAGACTAGGACATGTGGTCACTAGACTAAGCAAGTGTTTCCGGGTAATTACGACCCACAAGTTATTACCTAATGCGCACATGCAT